GAATTATTTTAACATGATATCTTATATTTTCAAAGGGTTTTTTTTTTTTCTGATTATAAGTTTAGTTAGTTTCATTGACACTGAATAATGTGAACCTCAGTATTGCCTGTTTTTATGTTCAAAAATCCACAAAAAGAATTGTGTACTTCTTCCCCTCCACAGTCTTTAAGAAATGTTTTTAGTAGTAGTACTTCATTGTATATAAACTTCCTCTCTGTGGATGGATTGTATAAAAYGCAAATCAGTCCAGAAGCTGATCCKAAGATGTTAAAGTAAGAAATACAAATCTGCTCCAACTCTGGTTTTAAATATTTTAGKATTTACAGCCATTTGACTCAGACTATTTTCCCATTTTGTAATTACTATTTGAAACTCCTACGCCCCCACACCCCCACCAAAAAAAGAAGGTAAACAAAGAGAACTAAACAGTGGAAGTTATTTTTAAATTCAAAAAGGGTGGTTGTGTTTATGTGGGGCAAACTGAAGACTCAATTTTATAATATCATTGCTTTTTTACTACTTGTTTGATAGGTCCCACTTTCAGGTTGCCAGGCAYTTCAAAAACCACAGAATATGGCAAGATGTGCTTTGGGAGATATAATTCCCATATTAAACACACGGGATTGAACAGGGGACGATGAGTACTGCTGTACAATGTGAGTTTCAATAACGATGACAGGAGCCTCCCTGGAAGGCAGCCACACACAAGAACAGTTAAATGCATCATTTTGACAATAAGCTYGCTCCCAGCAGGTTACTGTGCAGGAAAGGGCTGTGCAAATATTAATAACGAGAGAGTGAGTACCAGAGAGACTCACCATTCATACCTTCGAGTGCAGTTGCCCTAACGTCCTGCAAGGGCCTGTGAAAACTGATCAGCATCTACTCTGTGGTCCCTTCATGGCCTTTGGAGCAATCCCAGGGATCCCTAAAACTGAGTGGGGGGACCACAGGCAGCACTGCTTAGGGCTGCAGACRTACACCACTCTGGCTGCAGAGACCACAGGAGTGCCGTGATCTTTCTGTGTCCCCAGGGAGGGTGTGTGGATTCAGCCACACCCTGGAAGCAGCATCACACATCAGCAAGATTTTAGATTATTTTAGATTTTACTTTTTTTTTGTTACAGTCCCCTTAYCCATATGACCTGCATCCATTTCAGCACACTCCTTTACCTCTTAAGAGTTGCACAGTGCACAGTTACCCTYGAATAGCTACGACAGTGACATGCTGCCTTCTGCAAAAACTGCTGTAGAGCCTTCTGTCAATGTTATCTTCTCTCCCTAATCCCCATCCATAAGAAAGTAGAGTTGGTTCCAAAAACTGCTGTCATTAATCTGATTCATCAATTATCTTGAAATGAAACTCAACCATTAGTTCCTTTCCTACATCTATTAAAAAAAAAAAAAAAGCAATTACACAATCAGACTTGTAAGAAAAGTAAAATACCTATAGAATAAAAAGTTAAAAAAGCCAACAATTTCAGCCCTTTTCCAAAAAGTATACTGGCAACTAGAGTGCCAGAAAGATTTCAGTGAAGACATGGAAGTGAATTCTACGGAAAAATTGAAGCATTTTTCAAGGGTGTCTTTGTAGAGGTGAACTGAAGTTCTCACGGCAAATCCTGGGAACACATTTTGTGCTACACAGTGGGGGAACGAAGTCTCATGTTTGTAGAAAGAGTGTTACATCCATGAGCTGAGATTGCTTTTCACTGCCAATAATCTTCTATTTGTGGACATAATTGTTAATAATGACAGGGGCTAGAACATGAACACTTCACATCCACTCCCACATGGTGCTCTCAAAGGAAAAGTTACTGCTCCAAAATTCTCTCTCTATTCCTGCCTTCAATGGTACAGATTTTCAGCTTTTGCACATTGACATAGCCCTCTAAATATCAATCCATATGAACCGATAATTCAATCAAAAAACTAATTACACTTATCCTAAAATGGGAGCACATTGTTCTAGACCTCCAAATCTCCCAGGAGCTGACAGGCCACCATAAAAGCAAGGGTTATAAACTTGAATTTTTTACAGACAAATAAAGCTGTGGCCTATGAATTCTCTGCCTATTAAGTTAATGAGCCTTGACAAAACAATCATCTGAGGAGCAGCTGACAAATTATGTGGAGCAGCAGTTTGAAAGGTGTTGGCTGGCTTGCAAATATTTCAGTTGGGAGAACATGGCTTCATGCTCCTCTTCCTCTTCCTCTGGGAGAGTCATTTGTCAAACTAAATTTCTTGGAGATCAACAACAGATTCTCAATATTGAAGCATGGAGATACAATAGTAACTGCAGTTACCAAAACAAGTAAATAACCCCTGTCATTTCCTCCTCAAACCTGAAACTCACAAAGGCTGATGAAGAATTTTTCTAGGAAGTCTGCATGAAGATACTGGGGCACCTTTTTCTTTTTGTTTGGAGTTCACTGAGGAGTTTAATGTGGAGGAAAAGAGCTTTGAGARATTCAGGTGAGTAGAGTGGGACCTTTTGAAATACGTAATCAATATTTGGAAGATTTGTTTTTTCTCTTTTTTTAGTAAAACTTCCAATAGAGATGGTGGTATCACAGCTGTGGATTTGAACCACTATCTTTAACTGGACTAATTCTTCAAAATTTTCAACACAATACAGTCCTGAAACACATTGCCTTTGGGAAATTTAGGCCTGTGTACATTAAATACTCTTGCAAGGACAGTCACTTGGATTCGGTTAAAAATGAGATCAGTACTTTTCTAAAATCTGTTCTCCAACTGTGAATACTGAGTCCRTTTGGAAATTGAATCATGATCCGTTGTAAAGCTGTCACTTTCCTCACCAAAGGCATTTGCTGAAATATTATTTCAAACATCTTCCTCCACACTCAACTATTCAGAGTCCTGTGGAAAAGATGACAGTACTGAGAACATGGAAAACTGTCATATTTTTCCRTCTGAATGTTATTTCACAGTGTGAAGGGAGTACAAATTATAGTAATCAGCTACCTTTGCAACAGCATGTAGCAGAGTATAGCGCAGAGCATTTAACCGTGAATTGTCTTTTCTCATATTTTATGTTCTTTTTGTGGTTTTTGTTGGACTGTTGACTTAAACAAACTGATTAAATATACAGGGACTAGAGCTTAATATTACATCGAAGTAGAATGAATATAAATAAAACCTTGTTCTGAAAGAGAATTGTTAAGTCACACTCAGTAGARGAATACCCAGCTTTCCAAGTCCTGATGTCAGGTCGTCAAATATGTGATGACCAAGTATTCAATGAATCAACAATAAAGCCAAAATAATGTATAGAGTTATACATTCAGGTGCYAAAATGGCCTAGTTTTATTAGCTCCTAGAGTTCCAGAGGTTATTGACATTTAAGTATGTGGCTGCAGGAAGCAGCCTTAACATATTAATCCTTTTCCACCAACCTCTCTCCATAGCAGTCATGTCTACAGAGATCAACCATTTACCTCCCTCTGTGGTTAGCAAGGCACTCAACTCCATGGCCCCAACATCCCCTAGAACCTGCTCATTCAACATTCTAACTCCAGTTGGAGCCCTTCTTTCTAAGGGGACTATCGTAAGAGACTTTATACCATGAACTCTTCCATTGTCTCCTTCTAAAACCACATAAGCACTGTCATGCACAGAAAAATTACTCATATTTACACTGCACCTAAAGAACCAGAGTAATTTTACTACTTTTTCCCTTTTATTCAATTTAAGACAACATTAGCAGAGAAATTAAAATATTGTGGGTAGATTGTTAGTGCCTGACACTTACCTGTGCAGATACTTACACCTTCATAAACACTGTACTAATTAAGATCTTGCATTGAGCTGAACAGCTCAACTAATCACTTTGACCACCCTGATTAAGCATCTTTTTACAAATTCTAGAAGTACACAGTCTTCATTCTAATAAAATGACAGGTTCTGCATGGTTTTGCCACATCTATCACATTCTTTGCTAGCATTTGTCTTCTTGCTTTTTAAATGGAGCTTTCTATTTCATAGCATTGCAATGCCTTGCACAGCTGTCCTCCTAATCCCTGGGGTTTCTTTCCTGTTAGTGTATCTTAAATTAATTTACCATTTTACTTTCCATTTTATGCACCTCTGCTCTTCTCTTCCCACTTACTCTGCTTTGAAAAATGCTTTCTGTAGAAAATGTCTATGATCAAAGCTCCAAACACATTTTTTTTTCTTCTATTCTAGAATATAAATGATAGATCTTTTCCTAAGAAATGAAGCACTCTTGAAAAACTGTACCTAACTCTTCCTCTATCTCCCAAATACTGTTTACAAATGGTTTGCTACTATCCTTGCARTGTATAGAAGAATAGCTGTGTTATACTAACATGCAGTTTTGGATGGTCTGCTTTTCTTCATTAAATATTTATCATGAGGCAATCACTGACAACGTGTTACAGAAAGATCTTCCACTATTTCAGTTACGGAAATGTATATCATTTTAGGTTTTCCTAGCTGTCCTCTCTGAGCACAGCTAGCCTAGGGAATGACAAATTTTAGATGCATTCTTCACCATGATTTGGTGAGGGAGGTGATTATTTTTTGCTCTATTTCTTCTGAATGGCTTAGGCAGCTGCCCTATAAACCCAAAGATGCTCAGTGAACTAAGTAGGCACAACAAAGGAATAAAGTGACAGAATCAAAACAAATTACTACAGCTGTCTTGGTCACTTTGCATAATCAAAGAGAAACAAACACTGAATTCAGCTGCAAAACATGGTACATATTATGTAACTTATTTTAGAGCACCATTCCAATGGATCAAAACATTGCCCGCATTCATCACTGGATTTTGGATGACCAAAATTACACACCAAGGTAGCATGTATCTTCCAGTGGTGCAGATGTGAAAGCATGGTTAAAAATAAGCACAAGCTGCAGAAAAAGTTCTATGGTGAAGATGCAAACTATGAGATAAATCCAGTGATGTTCATGCATTCTAACAAAGGAGGTGAGGAAGAAGCGCATGCAGTACCTGGTGATCTCAGAGTCAGGGAGCAGGCCTACGTGGTAGTGGGGGTAGGGAGCTGTAAGAAGGAAGCTTTTGTCACACTCGACAGGGGAATAGTGCCTAGGAGAAGGTGGTTTATCACACAGTTTGTTCACAGTGCTGTAAACAGGTTCAGGAGGCCTGGTGATACAGAGACAAGAGATCAGGTGCATATTAGTTGCTGAGAATACAGAGAAAACACAGCAATCATTTTAAAAGCATGCATAGCAAATCTGTCAAGACCTTTTCAGCGAGGCTTTTCCAACAAGTGTTCTGTTAAAGGAATTGTTAGAGTTTGATAACACTTGTATGGTATTCAAGTGTCTGCATATAAGGATATACACAATACAAGTGGACCAYAAAACTGCTCTATGGGAAGTGTGGCACTGAAAGGGAGTATCTTATCTCTGAAGCCGAGAAACTGAACCATTTTCCCACAAACTCTGTCTCCTTTTTAAATTTTTTAATCTAACTTTACTTCTACACAGCTTTCTGTGATCTTAATTTTGAATACAGCATAAAAGAAAATATATTTGCTACCTGAAAAATAAGTATTTTTTACCCATTAATTTACAATATATGTGAAGTACACRTTACTTATTAATGCAACATACTCTTATCCCAGTGAGCTGGGACTTTGCAAGTAGAGTAGTTGTCAAATTGACCCATATCCTATAATAACACTGATGGTAATAAACTGTGTGAGCAATTCATCTCATTGGCAGGCAATTCGTTGCGTTTCAAGAGTTCTTTGCACTCTTTCCAGATTCAGCCTTCAAAATCTGATTATGCAGGCCACATCTGAAACAGCTAACCTCACTGTCAAGGCTGCTGCAAGCGCGCTTGCAACGCTGCTCCAAGTCTGTGAAGCCAGACACACAGAGTAAGATCTTAAAACTAGAATTTCCCTCCTGCTGCCTARAGCCACCTGCCTGGGGGAGGCAATACTTACCAGAGCCCTCCCAGGAGCCGTCTGGGAGAGAGGAGAAAGGGAAAGCAGCCTTTAGTACCAGCCAGCCAGAGATCCGCGGGAGACAAACAGCGAGCAGTTTACAAAACAAACCCACACCGCATACACAGCACACCTCCCACCTCGTAACTTCTGTGCCATGGCCCCAGCAGATATCTCTGAGCCCACTGACACAGTGAAACCTGACTCATTGTTTGCTGACATTTCTGCTCTAAGGAGAGCCAAGGGTCAATTGCTATCATATCCATGCTTCTGCCAGAAGATCCAGGGTATGCCACTGTCTTTAATCACTGTCATACGATATTAACTAGATGGAAATCTTGTTTCAGAAGCCTGAAAATATCAAGAGGCCAAGAAGTTAATGAACTTTTTTTGTTCTGGCTGCACTATGCCTCACATGGGTGTGAGTTTTGCTGTGACTTCCACAGGTACCAGAATTTATTACCGTCATGGATGTGCTGGCAGATACAGAGAACCTAATTTCCTTTGTTGGCTTCTGGGTTTGTCCTTTGGGGRAAAAGGAGTAGCTGCTTTACTTAAAAATTGGTCTAACTCAATGCTAACAACATTATTCATAGCAGTCTGACACATGATTTGGGAACTCGCTGTGCCTGACTTTCCCAAGGAAAACTTTATGGTTAAAAAAATGGCAATTTAAGATTACCAAACAGCAAAATAGCAAAGCTGTCAGTCATTTTATTATAAAGCATTGTGTCAARCACTTAGTAAAATGCCTCTAAAAAYGTTTAAGGTAGCACTCAATTTTTATCGGTATATTTCACTTGTTTCAGAGGGCTGAATTTAATAATTTATTGACTAAATCAATTGTTGCTTTCAAAAAAAAAAAACAGAGGAAAAAAATCTTCTATTTCACTTTTGTCCAATACTGCATCTTATTCCCTTAGAAACCAATTTTGCTTTAAGGCAATATATGAAAGAACAAGTACAAACAACAAATATAAATGATACCTACTAAGAAAATTGAAGAAATATTGCCCCAGTACAGGAAGACGAATAAAACTGTTAGATTTCTCCATGGCTTAAAACTAACCAGTCCATAAAAAAATTGTTARTGTCCTATATTCAAGTTAATAATCTTCTCTGAGTCGTAGAGGACAGTAGAGTGTTACTATCCCTTGGATATATTGTGAATGCTGAAACTACACTGAGTCATGGTCAGTGGCCATCCAGCCTCATGCTGAGACACAAATCATGCCACAGAGATGGGTARATATGAGTAATTTCTTTGTTAATTGACAGTTCCGAGCTACTTCCAAAAGCGAAATGAAGTTAAACATTCAACATCTACCCACATATTGAGACCAAATTAGTCCTTCAAGTATAAACACAGAGTCCTAACAAATTGCCTTACGAAGCCCAGCAAATTTAAAAAAATTTAGCAAATGTTAGGATGTTGTAAAACATTTTTGAAACCTTTTCACTCCATTTAGTCTTGCTGGGTGGTAACATAACAGGAAACTGGAACAAGCCTGAGCATAAAGTCCTGTACTCACTGATATTATACAAGTGATACTGTGACCTAGTTAACATCATACCCTCTGTATTTGAGTTGCAGAGAGAGGTCTTAAGGTTAAGAAAAGGAATCCATACTTTAAAAAAAAATTATCCTTTTAAAACTTGGACTCCTTGGTTAGAAGAAGATTCAAGGTATCAGCTAATTTCAGTTATGAGTACGCTTCTTGTCAGGCCTAGGAAATTGTCTGAGATAACACAGTCACCTACTTCCCATCAGATGTCCCTCTGTTCAAGGTCATTGAGAACATGGACTGCACTGGTCCTTTAAATGCTCTATACTATTCAGATGCACAGGCTAAACAACTACCAGCTACATAGCTGGGCTCTGACTGCATATTTTATTGGCACAGAAAAACAAGAATTTGGGGAAAAAAAGCAGTATATAACATCCAGTGTCCAGGATAAGTATAAACTTGTTTCCTCTCTCAATTTGGTTTATTAAATATGAAATAGCRTAAAAAATTTGAAAGTTGGGATAAAAAAAATATAAATTAAAAGAATGATTAAAATTATATGGGGCAGATCATACAAACTGTGTTCCATGTAGGCCATTAATCACAAAAAGTTATATAAAGTACTTGCTGCAACAGCCTGTCTTCAAATACTGTCCTGATTCTTCACCTTCTCTATGACAAACTAGTACTTAACTACAATAGTGCCCAGCTACTCTGGAAGAAAACAATCCCCTATTTATTACAAAAAAAAAGATTATGAAGACCTCCCAGCTTTATTAAATAACTGTTTTAATGCAGCATTTTYTCTTTGCCATTTATATTTCTCCTCACAGAGAGAAGAAAAAACTTCTCTCCAAAGGGATCAGCCCACCTGATAAATCCTGTCTCACACATCTTCTCCAGTGCTATGACAGAGACAGATTGTCCTCTCTCAAAGYATGGGATAATGAGAATGCTATTTAGAAAGAGTTTTTAATGTGTCATTCTAAAAAAATACAGCCAAGGTCACCTCAACTTTCTCRCAAAAATAATTAAGAGCCAGACTGAACATAAACATTGAGCCCTTATTTTATGATGCATTAATTCTTCAAATGAATTAAAAAAACACGTAGCAAGTCATTTAGCATGCTTTAAKAAATGTTTAAAGGCTAGATATATAGTATTTATGGATTGATTCAGTGTAGTTTCTCTGCAGTTGCACCACTTTCAGACACAGCAGGTACAGCTTCAGAGGTTTTATTTAAAAATAAATGCTAAGTAGTTTTGGAAACTGCTAACTAAGAACTACATTATGGAATTTCTTTTGTCTATTATCTTMATTTTTGKTAACAYTTAYRCAYRAAAATCTTCTYAAAGWGCCAAATGTGTGAATGTTACTGTAWRMATCTTCRATAATTGMMATATCTCTTTTAAAGWGTAATTATGTAAACTSGGTCTACTCTGAAAAATAACTAAATAACTAACTACTGCTTTAACTTTTTTAGCAGATCCGCTCCATTTCTGCCTTTAAACTGTCTATTTAGTGACAAATAGACATCACAGTTCTCTGTCTTTATCASTGAGCTAAAAACAAAGCTTTGTGATAAATATGGACAACAACAATTACATTAGCCTGGGAATCAGGCACACAGTAGTAAAGGAAATGCAACAGAACATGCAAGTAGTAAATGTAAGCAGCAGCACAGCATGGCTTGAACATGTCTCTGTAGATAGTTCAACTCACACAACAGAGAATCAAATCATCTAATGGCAAAAGTAAGCTTTTAAATGGTAACATGAGCAGCAGAGAGTTGCAYTTCCAGCAAGAAAATCAAAAATACAAAAATTGAAAGCTGAAATTGTTATTYAGGACAGACGTAACAGCAATGAGGCACAATTCTCACAGAAAGGTAGAACTAATTGGTGGAAATTATAACAGTAACAGTGGGAGGTAGAAAATTGATCTAACACTGGTTTTATTTATTTATTTCATAACAGATTGARTAAAGAGAGTGAATCTTCCTTGCTGTTTGTAGTCCTAATTATTCCTTGTTTAGATCATCAATGTTTTATTGTTTCAGACTGATTTAATTGTGGAACAGAAGTCAAAAGAAAATGGCTTTATTAAAAACCATTCTCTCCTCAGCATCATGAAGGGTCCTCAATTTAAAATTAACTTTTCTTTTTTTATTGCAGAACCCTGTTTGGTAGGCTTCAATTGCCAAAACRGAGCACATTAAATGTTAACAGTTTCAGGTTTTAAAGCATTTCAAAACCTTTTATGATATGGAAAGAAACCAGCTCAGCTCTCACAGCATATAAAGTATGCAGGGCTATMGCCAGGAAACAATCTGAGAGAAAATACATTCAATCTGAGAGAAAATAAATCTCCCAGTGTTACAAGTTTGCAACTTCTAAAAACTATTTTCAGAGTTGCAATTTTTAATTTTATCCAAGTTCCATAAAGACACCTAAGACCTTAGTTTTGCTAATATAATGTTGCTGGGAAGTAGACRGAGAACTTAAAAATACTATTTCACTATTAAACCAAAAATCAATGGCAATTTAATACAAATGAACTCTTCTACTCCTAATAACCAGTGATTTTTTTATATGTATGTCCTTTGACTGAGTTTCTTATTCATATAACCTTCTAGGAGAACCACAYACCATATTGTTCAATAGGGTAATTAGAATTGAAA